TTTTGGCAAGGGGAACTGAGGCCTGTATCTGGCAGGGAGGACAATTATTCAGCGCTCTGTGACCTGAGAGATGTCTCACTGCTTCCAGTGCCCTGCTAGGCAGTGTTATTCCTCGTTAGTAACTTCACTGGCATTCAGTAAAATAACAGTCAAGGGGGATTTAAGGGTGTTTTTTCTGGCCTGGTCACGAGTCTCGTGCTCAGGGGACCTTTGTACCCAGTTACTTCAGTGCGACATCTCGCTCCTCCGTGAGCGCCGGAGCAGTGCAGCCAAGCTCTCGCAAAGCTGCGCGCTGGCAGCAGGGCGGGTGTGTGTTTGTTTGTAGTGACAGGATTTCTTCCAGCCAGGCCTTCCCTTCGGGGTTTACAAACACGTGGAAGCCCTTGCGGTAAGGTTAGTGTGAGTTTGCAGGGTCAGGGTCTGGCAAGCTGCTCACAAACGCTCACTTGCCGCCCCAATCCGGCGAGTCCACCCTCAAATCTCATGAATAAAATTAGACAGATGCACAAGGATTTACAGAGTGATAACAGCCCAGCAGTAAACTAATCCACGGCTCGGAGGCGGGGGGGGGTTTCTCATTGACTAAGGCTGCAGAAATAAATACCTGACAGTGATTTCTTTTTAAGTCTACCCCAGACATTCAGTTTCTAGGCTGTTTACCATAGCTAGAGCATTATCAAAAATAAACTCTGCATTAGGCTGTGAGTACAGGCTTCTCTCAGGTGAAAGAACAAGAGTGTCTTTTCCATCCGTTGGAGGGCAGCAGCACATACACAAGCCAGTCCATACTGACTACTGCTGTGACAGAGTGATCAAAACAATAATAATAAAAGCAAAAATATGCCAGACTGGCTCAGCCTGAGTACTGGTATAACCACAGGCCATGTCTTAATTAGAGTTGCAGAAAACTTGTTATGCAGCCCTAGAGGCCAAGATGCTCACTAGAGCAATACACGCTTTCTGCTTTTTGTCTGGCATGCCTTTCTACTCACTGAAAACTATGAGGCTCTAATTTGTTTGTCAGGGAGAGGAAGACCGAAAACAAAAAGAAAAAAAGAAGAAAAGAACAGTTGAAATGGCAGGATATTAGGAATTCATACATGTGTCTTTTGGAGTGGCCAGCACAGGATGTAACATAACTACTGTAAAGAAACATCAACCTGGAAACAGGATTCCTGAGCCGAGATATTGTCACAGGATTCCTTTTCAGACAAACATGTAGAAATAAATAAATTAAATAAGCTCAGGGCTTATAAGTTAGAGGCTTAAGTAGTAACTGCATATTAGAGGGGAAGGGATCAAACCTACCCTGGGAAACATAGTGTTTCATTAGCTTTTTAAAGTGCAATAAAGAAAAGAAGGGAGACAGGACTAATTAAGTCTTGTGGAATTTACAGCCCACACAACTGGCTCCTAAAATCACAAAGCTGGCTTAAAATAATATACTTAAAGAAAAATAATAAGTTCTTCTAGTTTGCTTTTTTCACTATGTGATCATGAGAACTGGAAACATTTTTCTCTTTTACAGTGAAGGCTGGAATTTTCATTCACATGGTATGTGGCTAGGAAATCAAAAGGAAAGGCATGAAAATACAAAAATGTATTTGTATTGCCATTACAACTCATCTTTGATTACTTGAACCTCAATAAAATACTCAACAAAGGCTTTGCTTCCCAATACCTAATTGTGATGCAAATTCACCCAATTATTCAGTCAGAGCCCTTGTCCCCAATGACATTCAGATAATCAAGCTTCTAAATACCAATTAGGTTTAAAAAAAGTCTCAAGAGGAGTACAGCCTAAAACAGGAAAACCTTATTTCCCTCAAATCTTCAGATTTTATGCTTGTAAATTTCTAACAGATTCGGCTTTAGTCCTGGGTTTCCCCTTCCCTGCTCTATTTTGATCTGTGAAGATAAGCCACAATTCTGGGTTTTGGTGCAGCTGCTTTGAATCCTGTCTTGGTTTTCCCAGTTCATTAATCCTGAGTCCATGAGGCTGAACTAAAGAGCTTCCTCCCTGTTTATAACCACACACTTTTTTTCACTGTTCAGCCTGGACTTCTGACATCAGGCTTGGTTACCACTGAATGTAGCAATCAGGTTTTTCTGCATCTTGTAGCACGTACTCGCTGTTTCTCATAACATCAAGAATTAAAAGATAAGATGGGGTTATAGCAGCAACAGCAAGGGCTCCATTCTTTGTTCGCCTGGAACAGTTAATCAGATAGACTTAAGTAATTTTCCAATGATCCTTATGGTGAGGAGGCCTTAAAAAAAGATTTGTTTCCATAAATGCTGTATGATAGATAAAATAAAGTATAAAATAAGTATAACTCCCTGCATACTGGTCCTTTTTTGGTGTTAGTAGGATACAATGTTCTTTTATGTATAATGTAAAATAAAGCATCATGGACAGATTTGAGAGTAAATGCAAAGGTTCCCAGTGATTTCATTGGACTGTGAATCAAGTAATGCGTCATCTTTACCTGAAGCTAGTTTTTCATCATTTTTAATGAACATTTTTTCTCTTAAGCTTGGTTACTTCTTAAGCATTACACTATGGAAATTACTGTGTCACTCAAATTCTGGAGTTCTGCTGTTGACTTCAGTAATGTCATAACTGCACCTTCTAAGTTTTATTCCTAATCTGAAGAGAAGCTGGAGCCAGCCATAGGAGACTGAACCTAAGCCTCCAGAAATCAATATCAATTTTTGCATTGTTTTCTGTGTCTCGGACCTTGCGTAAACTCTGTTTTCATCCTGTTTTGTTGCTTGGCAGAGATCACTTCCATTCTGATCCCTAATGGAATGATTACTGCCATGGAGGCAGGTATCTAGATTTCTGGGATTAGCAGGACTGCCAGGCACAGCAGCAGTCTCTTCCTTTGCACACACTTATCGTCATTTTGAATTGTAACTCTTGGAGAAGTGTCTCCTCTTCTTGATTGTCTCCAGGCTCCTTATAGTGATTCGGCCTTCCTTCAGCTCATTTGTCTAGGGATATGGTTCTCAATTTGACGTAGGAGACCTGAGGTTCATATCCCAGATGAGCTCCCACAGAACGAAAGGCAATGGACACAAAATGAAACACAGGAAATTCCACTTACACACAAGAAAATATTTATTCACTCTGAAGGTGGTTGAACACTGGAACAGGTTGCCCAGACAGGTTGTGTAGTCTCCATCCTTGGAGATATTTAAAACCTGACTGGACTCCACCCTGGGCAGCCTGTTCTAGCTGACCCTACTTGAGCAGGGAGGTTGGACCGGATGATTTCCAGAGGTGCCTCCAACCTCAACGATTCTGTAATTCTGTGATTCAAGTATTGCTGAAGGTGTAGTAGGCATGAGGAGTCATTTGGCAGGCAATTGCAAATTCCCAATTATCATCTGTGAAACTGAGACTCTGCACTGTGAAATGAAAAAGTCACAGACCTGTTACAGTAGCCCTTGTTAGAGGCTGCAGCAGACCATTGCATCCCATCAGACAGGCTGATGTGTTTTGCAAGGTAACCCTTTTAGCAATCACAGATGACATTAAATAGTGATGTTTTAAACATGCCTACTATCCCATGCAGTGATGGCATCTAGAAGGTACAGTCTGGCCAAAATCCTGTCCAATCTCTCCTCTGAGTGATTCATATTTTCAGCATTTAATAGCTTAAAACATACAGGGAGACAGGAAAAAGAAACGTTTCTTGAAAATTATGTTTGTGTTATTTTTAATATTATTTTTTAGGATTGGTAACATGAGAATTTTTACCTCACTTACCAAGCTACTAGTTCATCCTAACCAAACGCAAGGCAGACACAAGTGAAAAATGAATGAGAAAATGAATGAGAACATGAAAAAGCTCCTGTTCATGGTCACCTACTTAATGATAGTAGATAGCAAAGGACCATGCAATAGTTCCTTTTTTAAGCAGATGGAACAG